CTCCTCCTCCTCACTGTTACCTCTCCTTTCCCTTCTTCCTCCCCCCTCTCCCCTTCATCTACCTCCTCCTTCCCCTTCCCTTCCTCCTCCCCCTCCCCCTCCTTCTTCCTCTCCTCCTCCTTCCCATCCTCCTCCTCCTCACTGCTACCTCTCCTTTCTTCCCACCCAGACACAGGGATCTTAGGTTTGAAGGGTAAAGGCTCTGTGATGATAATCAAACTTCAGGTTAGTTTTTAAATATATTAGCCCTTAGAAATCATCTTGTTAATTTCAAAGTGAAGTGATAAGGAGGAACGTTAGTGTGTGTGTTGATCATGTTATGACACATTGAGAAAGTAGATGATATCAGCACATTAACTATTGTAAACTCTAGGAAATGGGTGTGGGATGTTTACTGTAACATTTAGTCTTTCTCCTTCTGGGTGTGTTTTAAATATCCCATAAATGAAATATCTGAAGTAAAACAAAAACTCTTTATTCTGTCCTTAAATACATGTTATATTAGATTTATGAAAACTGACTCAAGAAGAAAAATATCTGAGCAGTTTTATATCGCCTATAGAAATTAAGTCCATGATTAAAAATCTCTCCCAAAATACCCGTGTGGGGCCAGATAGCTTCACTGGTGAATTCTAAACACTTTCTGTTCCAAAGAATAACAGAAACACTCCTACATTTTAGGCTGATCTATCACAATAAAAACATAATGCCACCAGCAGGGAGAATTACAGGCCGGTGTTTCTCATGAGCGAGGCTCCTAAGAACATACGAACGCATTCCGTCTACTCTAGCCGCACGTGCATGTACAGATCATACCTCCGACCGAGGGATTTTATCCGAGGGACGAAGAACGAGAAGCCGTGAGAAAATCACAAACATGAGGCGCTGTAAGCGATAACGGGAGACACAGCACACGAGTCAGCGTTCCGGGCGGAACCCTTCTCCCCCCGGAAGGTCAAGGAGACCCAACCGGGTGCCCAGGCCTGGGGGTGACTCTGCTTGGAAGCTGGCCTTTGCGGATGGGACCACGCTGGGATGCGGAGCCTCCAGGTGGGGCCAGGGAAACACGGCATCTTCCCTTTTGTGCCAGAGGCGGGGCTCAGGGAGGAGAGGAAGCGTGTTCACAGAGGCGGCCGTGGCCGAGGGAGTGGGCGTGGGGACACGGGGACCCGCCCGGGATGGTGAAGGCGGCCGAGGGGTGAAAGCCACAGAGGCCGGGCGGCAGGAAGGATGCTCCCCCGTCCCAGGAGCCCAGCCTCACTCCGCCAGGTTCTGGGCGCTCAGCCGCCAGGACCCTGAGGCAGCGACTCCTGGTGTCTGAGACCCAGGCGGGGGCACGCGTGCTGGGCCCTGGGGGCATCGGCATCGCCTGCTTCGTCTTACACACGAGGAAGGCATGACAGACACGCTTTGTCTGCCCACACGTGTGTGTGGCTCAGGGCAGGCTGACTGTCTCCTATAAACTCATCCTCTATATTTAAATGGTGTTTCAGGAAAATGTAAATTTTTAAAAGTTAACAGACGTTCATTACGCCTCCTTTTACAAGGCCTGCATGAGGCCTCGGGGATGCAAGACTCACATCCTCCAACTCAAAGGCTCCGGCTGCAGCTCAGGTAACCGGTCAGGGGCGGGAACCCGTTTGTCCAGGCGGCAGCGGCAGTGAGTGACGGGGAGGGATGGAGGGGCCGGTGGGGACAGATGGATGGATGGACGGACGGCAGGGATGGAGGAAGTGGTAGGAAAACTCACGCGGGGAGAGGTTCTGAGCGAACACTCAGGGCAAGGAACTCCCGGGTGTGTAGAAGCGAGATGAGGGTTTGTGGGCAGAGGGACGCGTCACACGGCGTTTTAGCAGGAAGAGCCGGAAGGTGGGCTTTGGTTACAGTGTGACGAGATCTGAGTGTTTCCTACAAATATGAAGACTTAGGAAGAAGTCACAGCGAGGAGGCGAAGTACCGGCGTTTTTAGGATGTAGATACACCTGTGGTTCTGTCAGAGGACGAGTAGCCATGGAGAATCCCCCCCGCCCCCCGCCATCATCATTACACTAACTGCCTCGCTACAAAGAAAGAGAAAATTGAGAAAATACTTGTTAGATGAAAATCTAGCCCAAGACAAAGGGAAGAGCAGGGGAGGGAAGAAGAAGGGAAGGAGGAAGGCGAAGAAGGAATACCGCTGCATAAATAAGCTATAAATAAAATATAATTTTTGCTCTAATAACCAAATAAGAATTCTTATAAGTTTATAAAATTGTTTTGGCTTTTTATTACTTTTTTGTTATTGGTTTTTGATATAAGAAGTTGAAGAAGTATGGACAGAATGGTATGAAATCTACTATTTCTACCTAAACATAAGTTATAAACATTGAACACTGGCTTTGTTGATTGCCGACTAAAACGCCAAGCTCAAAATCCTCATCTTTAAAACACCATTGTATTCACACATTATTCAGGAAATGCTGGAATGGAACATGGGATAGTTGACAAAATGTTTTTAAAAAACGCATTTGTGACTCAATGATTGTCCTCTTGTCAACAATCAATTAAGTAGAATTTTACGCCGTAACGAAGCTTCGCTGACTAACAGGTCTAAGAGGGGACTTAGACACTGAAGAGACAGGAACACGAACATCATTGAATTTGCTGAGAGCTGAGCGGCCAGGGAAGTGGACCGAGCTGACAGACACTACTCAGCTGACGTGCCCAGTGGCCGCTGGGTGCGCACAGCCTGGGGCGTGTTCCTATCAACTCTTCTCATTGTGAGCACAATAGGTTTTTGTTTTTAAATATTTTTATTGATTTTTTTTAAGAGAGAGAGGAAGGGAGACGGAGAGAAGATAGAAACATCAGTGATGAGAAACATCGATGGGCTGCCTCCTGCACGCCTCCCGCCCCCCTCCCACTGGGGAACTAGCCCACAACCCGGGAATGTGTCCTGATGGGGAACCGAACCAGCAACCACTTGGTGCCTGGGATGATGCTCAACCCACTGAGCCACGTCAGCTGGGCCACAGTAGGTTTTGTGGAAAGCAAGCCCAGCAGGAAAATCCAAGGGAAGTTTATGCTTCCTCAGCTGGATCTCTCTTCAGTTAGGAAAGAAGAGTGTAGCTGGGTTTCTATGTAGAGCAGTCTGGGTTTTGAGTCAACTTGACGTCACGCGCCGTGGTTTCCTCGTCTGCTGCTGAGGGACCGACGAGCTTCTCTTACGCGTTTGCTTGCACCCAGAGGAACCAGACAGCCTTCAGCCACACCCCCACCCTGCGCTGGGAGCTGGCCTGGGGCCTGGGCGTGGACAGCAGTGGCCTGGACGCTGGTCTGGCTGCGGGAGCCACTGCCCTGTCTATGACTTTGACTCCAGCTGGAAGGTCTTGGTCCTGATTCTGGCCTCAGGGTTGTGGATTTGACTTCTACTGAAACCCACTGATGTTCCCGGGTCTTAGGAACAGGAAGCTCAACTTCCAGGTTCTTTACTCCAAAGTGTTTCCTAACCTGTCCTCCTGGGTTGCTGTGCACGGCTCCCAGGACCCCCGTGGGCAGGGCTGAGGCTGTGGCAGGGCCGTGGCTGACAGGCGTGGCAGATTGGAGAAGAGGATGTGATGTGACACCTGTTTTGGGACAGTTCTTGGGAGAATTGTCCAACATCAAATTCCAACTTTTCAAGCATTGTATCCTGTCAAATCTATTTCCAGCTCAGAACACGGAGAGAAGATGGATTGCCCACTTACGAGCTCGTTGGCGTGAGATTTAAGAGCTGCCTGTGTGTGGACAGCTGTTCAATAGCAGTTTGGACTAATTCTATAAATATCAGCTATTTTACCACCGGCTCTTTCTGCTGTCACTCTCCAGATGCTAATTTTTCATCTGAGATTCTTCCAGCGCATTTTACATGGGGAGAGAGCGCCATGATCATTTCCCAATAAGCGAGTTTAATGTGGCGTTGCAACCGGGCGTCCACGGTCGTCATTTATCTTACGTGTGTCCTTTGTTTTATGATTTTGCTGGGAAGACAACTGTGTCCCTTCCTGAGGACACCGGATATCCATGTTGTTACATCGGCAAGAAGGAAATATCAAGGACTGAGATGAGGGAAGCAACAACTGGTCTTTCCCGGGCCCCTTTCTCTCCATGAGTCAGAATCCAGACCCTGGGCCCAGTGCCGTGTCAGCCAGCTCAGTCCTCCCAGACAGTCCATAAGGCTTAGATGGCTTCTCAGTTCCCTAAAATTCACATCGGTGTGGCCCGGCCGGCGTGGCTCAGTGGTTGAGCATCGACCTATGAGCCAGGAGGTCACAGTTTGATTCCCAGTCAGGGCACAGGCCCAGTTGCAGTGTGGGGCATGCAGGAGGCAGCCGATCCATGATTCTCTCTCATTATTGATGTTTCCTCTCCCTCTTCCTTCCTCTCTGAAATCAATAAAGATATATTTTTTTAAAATTTACATTGGTGTGAACTCCCAAGTCTGGCTATGATTTGGGAGCTAAAGCCTCTGGACTGAGATTCTGGCCATTCACAGCCTTGATTATGATTTTAGTTTATTTGGCCTCAGACTCAGGCTAACCCACGGTGTTCGGAGTCACCTGGGGAAACTGGTATCAGGAGCGACACGGAACCCCACGTTGAACTCTGAGCTGAACACTCTCTGGACCCTGCCATACACACCCCGTTATTTATTCCCTTTAAAAAATATTCTTATTGATGTCAGAGAGGAAGCAAGAGGGAGAGAGAGATAGAAGCATCCATGATGAGAGAGGATCATTGAAAGGCTGCCTCCTGCACGCCCCCTTTTGGGGATCGAGCCTGCAACCCGGGCCTGTGTCCTGACCTCTCGGTTCATAGATCGATGCTCAACCACTGAGCCACACTGGCCAGGCTATTTATTCTCTTTTAAACCAGCTGCCTCACCAGTTCTTTGTAGACTGATGGCCACTCAATCTCCTCACCAGCCAGAGCTTTGGGGTTGGTTTTCTCTCCGAAAACGTTTGCTGTTTCCACTGTTAAAGTTTTGCTCCACGTGAAGCTGGTTGCCGTGACCTCTGGAAGGATCAGACCTTCCTCTCGGCCATCGGGAAGCTCTCAGAGGCCGTCGCTGCAATGGAGACACTGGTCGGAGAGGAGTGATCTATGGGGAGATAGCAGAGCAGAGGGGACGACTGACTATAAAAGGAGCCATCAGGTGTTGGCGGCGGGATGAGCTTGGCAATGAGCAATCCGCTGAGGGTCAGGAATGTGCCGACGTGGACGAGCCAGCCACATCTTCCCATAAAAGCAAAGCCGCACGCTCAAGGCCGCCCAATGGGAGGCTGGGTCAGCAGAACTATTTTAATGGGAGAGAGGCCTCTGTGTCAGGAGACGGCCTCGGTGACATTCCAGGCGATGCGCGGAGCGACACGGAGGGATGGTCACATGACTCAGCACCTGCTGGCCCAGGTATATAAGCTCCCTCCCCACTCGCTGACACTCACTCTCAGGACCTCCTCTTGAACAGAAACACACTCCCCCTGACACCATGAGCTACTACGGCAGCTACTACGAGGCCGCGGGCTACGGCTGGGGCGGCTTCGGCGGCCTGGGCTGTGGCTATGGCTCCGGCTGGGGCTGGGGCGGCCTTGGGGGCCTGGGCTGTGGCTATGGCTACAGAGGCTATGGCTGTGGCTGCTGGCGCCCGTCCTGCTGCGGGGGATACGGATACTCTGGCTTCTACTGAAATCCTGCCCAGCAGCCCCACATCTGAGGCCATGAAGGGGGGACCCAAATGTGACTGCCGTGGCCAGACCAGGACCCACTAAGGTCCAAGCATCAGCGACACGACTAGGAATGTTGATCACTCATGGTTGTCTGCACCATGTCCCCTGGCGTTTCTTGTTTGCATTCTCGTAACTGTGGGATTCTCTGTTCTTTTTGCAATAAATGAGCGTAAGTTAAGACGGTGTACGTGGCCTTTACTTTTCTGCAAGAGTCCACGGCCAGGGTGGTTTTCGTGGGTTCAAAGACTTGGAGGGAGGGCTGACGCGCAAACGATACACACAAGACGGAATATTAATTTTTATAATTACCGGGGGAACCAGAGAACAGCCCAACTACAGAAGTCACGTTCTCCCTGTTGCTCCTTTCCCAGCTGCTTCTATTAACTAGAATACACAATTGCCTTTAGGACGCAAACAGACATATCAATGGTAATGCTTAGCAAACAGTCAGATTGCCAGGTCTTGGGAGTTTGCTTTAGGCCACTGAGTCAGCAGCAGGTAATAGAATGTAGGTATCCACCCTGTGAATGTCAAAGGAGTCCTGGTCAGCCTTCTGCCAGACCCCTCACATTTATACCCATCACTGTTGATCTTGGTGGGCAGCACTCTTCTATTTAGCTCAAAATATCAGAGTGAGTATTTGTAACCGTGCCAGTTGATAATGAAGAACATAAACTACTCCATGAAAAACTAAAGTAAGAGGATCTGTATATGCATCACACACGCACACACACACACACACACACACACACACACCCAAGGCCAGACAGACAGATAGATGTAAACCTTCACACTCAGTTGAAATGAAATTTTTCTTCTAAACACAAGACCAGATCATATTCAGCGTTTGTAGTGAGACAACACGATGCTTAAACTTAGCACTGAAATGTCAGTTGTAGGCACTTTCACTTCTACAGCAAAGACAGCATGAGGAACAAGTAAAGGGTGTCCCAAAATTCACGCAAGAAGTAATTTTGATAGAATACACAGGTTTATAATAAAAATTGTAAATTTGTTATTGATTCATAAAGTATACAGTATAGGGTTATGTACGGAATAGCATATCGGGTAAATGGCCTCCATGGCTTTGCTGGCACAGCAGCTGCTCAGGCAATAACAAAAGAGTGCGCATGTGCCAGCAAAGCCGTGGAGGCCATTTACCCGATATGCTATTCCACACATAACCCTATCCTGTATACTTTATGAATCAATAACAAATTTACAAGTTTTAATTATAAACCTGTGTTTTCTATCAAAACTACTTCTTGCATGAATTTTGGGACACCCTTTACTTTTCTGTTTTGTTAAAAACTTGTTGGTATTTGGCGATAAGGAAAGGAAGTGAGAGGATAAAGTCGGTCTCCACATTTGCACTGAAAATGCCCTTCTTCACGTGACTCTCCCGTTTCTCCAGGGCTGCCTGTGACGCGCGTGATTGTTCTCCGTGGAAGCCACGCCTGACATGCTCACGGGACACGCCACGCTCCCTGCCGCCCCGGGTGGCGTGTCTGCACGGACACAGCTGCCGTGGAGTTTAGCGATCGCCGCCCATGCACCCCTCCGGTTGTTCTGATTTTTAAATGTCCTGCGGAGGCTCTTGAGCGGCCCTTTCCTGATTGGGCTGCATCTTTGTAGAAATAACTCGTGAACAGCGCCGAACCCAAACCCTATTAAAAGCGATGATGGTAGGAAAGTCTCCGACTGGCTCACTGCGCACAGGCACCGACTTGCTGAGCCGGATCTTAGCACCACGCCTCTCAGTGCCTTGGGAGGGAGAGGGGCTCGAGCCTCACAGTGACAAACAAGAAAGTGCAGCGCCCTGGCCGGTGTGGCTCAGTGGATAGAGCGTCGGCCTGCAGACCCCAGGGTCCTCGGTTGGATTCCGGTCAGGGGCACTACCTGGGTTGCAGGCTCCTCCCCAGCCTGGGCCCCAGCTGGGGCTCCTGCAGGAGGCAACCCATTGATGTGTTTCTCTCACATCAACGTTTCTCTCTGTCGTTCCCTCTCTCTTCCACTCTCTCTAAAAAATCAGTGGGAGCCCCAGCTGGTCTGACTCAGTGGATAGAGCATCGGTCTGCAGACCGAAGGGTCCCAGGTTTGATTTCGGTCAGGGGCACATACCTGGGTTGCGGGCTCGATCCCCAGTGGGGGGCATGCAGGAGGCAGCCGATCAATGATTCTCTCTCATCATTGATGTTTCTGTCTCTCTCTCCCTCTCCTTTCCTCTCTGAAATCAATAAAAACATATGTAAAAATAAAAAATAACAATCAATGGGGAAAACCCTTGAGTGAGGATTAACAAAACAAAAAGGAAGTGTGGCCCCTTTCTGTGCCCCCCGGGGGGGTGCTGCACCCCAGGGCGCCTCAGAGATGTGTGCACACAAGGCCTCCGCCCGCCGACCGTCTCCTGAAGGGTCTGCCGGGGCCTCCTGGGGGGGCCTCTGGGCGGGGGGAGGGGGGAGGCTCCATGCCAATGCATCCCATGGTGGCTTGGCTGGTTTTCCATCCTGGACATGCTTGGAAACAGACAGTGCACCGAGAGCATCCCTCTGTATCCATGGAAACCTGTCCGTGTGGGGTCCGTGGCTTCAAACTTCCCAGGAGCGGGCTGGGCTCTGCAGGCGCCTGTGCTGAGCCCACTGAGCACCTTCCCGTGGCCTCCCCCGCCCCGCGGGCTCTGTGTCCCTGTCTCAGGTCGGCCCCGCGGGGCCAGTTCCTCAGGGACGGGCTCCGGGGCCTCCGTCCTCCCTGCCCACCCGCCTGCCCCCGGCTGCCTCTCGGCCACAGCCTCCCCCATGCCCGTGACTCCTCTCCTGGCACCTTCTCTGAAGTCACGGGCAGAACCTCACATGCCTTCGTCTGAGCCACCCGTGCACGCGTGGTGACATCACCGAGCCCAGCAGCGTCCTGATACCGTCCCACACGCGTGACCCTCCCAGGATCGGCCGTGTCCTCGCTGCGGCCACAGCCTGGCCTGGCCTCCGGCTAATTGGCCTTAAAGCGGGTGGAGCTCTGAGGCCGTGGCTGGGCCGGGGAGGCGGGGCTTGAGGAGAAGCATTGCTTTCATGTAACGAGGAGGAGCAAGCAATGTATTTGTTTTCTCTCTACTATTTTTATGGATTTTAGAGGGGGGGGCAGAGAGAGAGAGAGAGAGAGAGAGAGAGAATATGCAGGGGAATCATTGATCAGCTGCCTCCTGCACATCCCCCACTGTGGATTGAGCCCACAACCCGGGCCTGTGCCCTGACCAGGAATTGAACCCTGACCTCCTGGCTCATAGTTCGCAGCTCACCCACTGAGCCACGCCGGCTGGCGGAGTGATGGTTCCTTAACCGCCTCAGCTGCCCAAGGCCAGCAGTAGGTCCTGCACGGCCGTGGGGGTCAGGCTTTCCTCTCAGCCTCACAAACGAGAGGTGCTGTGGCCGCGGCCGTCATGGTGCCGGGGGATGCGTGTTGGGTTGGTGTTCAGTCCAGGTCCTCGGAAGTCACTCCAGGCCTGATGCCGGCCCTTCTCACACCTCTGTTAGCCTCATGGCTTCCAGGCGGTGGGTCCTTCCACAGCCTCCGCCCTGGTCCTCGCTCAGGACCCCCGCTGTGGGGGTAGGGCATCACCGACGTCCGACCTTCCTGCCCTTGGTCCCTTTCCATTTGGCTTCCGGGTCCATCGCTCAGGGGGGCAGGCGGGGGGGTCTCTTACCGGCACCGTGAGCAGTGGGTTCTGCATGCTCAGCGGACGTGAGGAGAAAACAAGACGAGATGAAAGGAGGCCAGGAGAGAATGACGCGATGGAGGGATGCAGTGACAGGTGTCTGCCCCAGGCCGCTGCCCACGCCACACAGCAGACTGAACGTAACCACCGAAGAGCCAGGGGGAGGATTAGTAGTGGCAGGAGTTTGGGGGGGGCGCAGGGAAGAGCAGGTGGAGCAAAGGGGGTTTTTAGGGCAGTGAGGATATTCTGCATGACCTGTTTTCGTGGTCACATGACACGCATTTGTCCAAACCCACAGAACAGGGCAACATAAGAGCGAGCTCCCACATACACTGTGGGCTTTGATTCCTAACAGTGTGTCCATGTGGGTTCATTCATTATGATTCCGGTGCCGTACGAGTCTCATATGCTTAACAACGGGGGGAAGGTGCCTGTGTGTGGGTGTGTAGGAACTCTCTACTTCCTGCTAATTTTCTCTGTGATCTTTAAACTGCTCTAAAAATGGAACCTATTTATGTAAAAGAGGAGACCACATAGCCCGTGAGAGACACGGTGGAGAAGGGGAGGGGCAGTGAGTGGAGGGACAGAGGAGGGTGTAACGGCCTTTAGGAAGCACCTTGGAGCGACTCATCCCGGAGGAGAGGAGCTGATGAGAGAGGATGAGCTTTGATCAGCCTTTAGAGCCCTCGAGAGGCAGGCCTTGGTGACTGGCATTCTCTCTGAGTTTCAGACCAATGTTATCCCACACTCGCCAACGCCCACAGGACAACACAAAGACTAAAGAGTACACAACCGCCCGGCTGGTGTGGCTCAGTGGTTGAACATTGACCTATGAACCAGGAGGTCAGGGTTCAATTCCTGGTCAGGGCACATGCCCGGTATGCAGGCTCCATCCCCAGTGGGGGGCGTGCAGGAGGCAGCCATTCATTGATTCTCTCTCATCATTGATGCTTCTATCTCCCTCTCCTTCTCCCTTCCTCTCTGAAATCAATAAAAATATATTTAAAAGAAATAGTAAACAACGATTTTACTTAGTAATTATATACCAATATTGGTTCTCCATGGTAACAAGTAGTACTGGTTTCTATACTGCACAGTAGAATGAAAGGGAAAGTGAGCACGCTGTGATGGCCACTGTTCTCAGAGGAGAGGAAACAGATCTTTGGCTCCTTCCTCGCGTCCGCATGGTGCTCGCGGCAGCTGGTTCTCGCGTCCTCTCCAGCGTCTGCTCCCCTCCCTCTCTCTGGACGA